TTGTGACATTACCTGCTGATACAAACTACTTACTGTGATTTTTTGACTTAAACCGTGTTCAGACAGGCAACATAAGGTAACGTAAGTGCCATAACATGATAATGTTATATGCCAGGAAACATTTTGGGGGCAACAACGTTGTTAGGTTGGAATCAATCCCAAGTCTATTTTGACAGAAAGAATTTTATTGTTCAGCCAATCAAAATCAATGGAAAAAAATGGAGGAAAATATGACATAAGATGATAACCTAATTATTGAAGTAGAAAATTATCCCATTTTATACAATCCTAGACAAAAAGATAATAATAATGTTAATACTTGATTAACTTAATGTAAAAATTAAATGTGCCCATGTAAACACTTGTATCTTAGCACAACAGAACAGAGACATGACCTTGATGCAACATGACGTATCATAAGAAGTGCCCATCTGAAAGCTGCTTAACACTCGACCAGATTCGAGCCTTCGTTCAACACCTCTAGAATTTCAAATTATTTTATAAGTGAAGAATCTGTACATTGTGACCGACATTATCCCATAATGCTACAATTATGAAGCATTTTTTTGGCAAAAAAGAATTTCTATCGTGCTACTTTATTTATTATTCTCCTCCAGACGTCACTCGTGCTAACTATTCTGCTTTAAAAAGTAGAAATTCCAAACTGTAAGAGATTCAGAATGCAGTTACAAGAGAGATCAACAGCATTCCAAAGCAGACCTTTGAACTCTAAAGCAGCTGGAGAAAGACTTGAAATCGGTCAAGTGTTAAGCAAAGACTCACAGTAAACAGTTTCGACATTGACAGATTGATTTATTGCAAAAGGGTATATGTGACATCTGTCTTGAAATTTTTCAAAGTGATCTTATATGTTGGTAACACACATTGCCAACATCTTTACAGAGATGCATTAAAATAATTTTTTAAAAATTTGGTTAAAAATATGTTGATTAGAAATATTAAGTACATAAAAAAAGGTGTACTTATTTATGTGCATAAATATGTATCACCTTTTGAAAAAAACAAATACTTTCTGAATCTGACAAGCTTTTCCACAAATAACAGTTTTGATTAATAGTGTAAATATAAAAATTTTGCAGTGCACAGATGCCTGCAACACGAACAGATGATTCTGAAAACGAAATAAATTTTAAACGGACAAAATATGCAAGTTTTTGATTTATTCTCAAGCTAAATTTTGTAATAATATTTTGCATTATAATAAAATAAATTTCTCATCAGAAACTATTTTGTGCATTCTATAACATTAGTAGACATTAAAATTAAGCATATTAGTTTAAAATTCTTAATATAATTTATCGCCGAAAGACTAAGTTAATGTATGCAAGTTTTGTTTTATTATTAAATTTCTATACCTAATTCGTACACAATTATTTTTAAATATAGTATATTTTAATAATGAAAATATTAAGTGGCACTGATCAAGATATTTGTCTTTTAAACTGTACAAAGAACTAGCTTATATGTATTTCAACAAGATTTGGTGGAATGATTAAATAAGTGTTGTTCTCACTATGGAGAGTAAAAGTTTTATTAAATCAATTAATTTAAAACTTTTTTTTTAAGTATAAATTTTTTAACAATAAAAACAGACTCAAAAACACAAAATATGACTATTTAGTCTTCCTGTCAACAGGAATATTTTTTCGTCGGAACAGTGATTCTCAAAGTGGGCACTACCACCCCCACGAAGGTGGGAGAAGATTCAAGCTTTTTGAATTATTTAGAATGTGTAATTACAAATTCAAAATACTGAAGTCGCAAATATGAAAATTTTAAGAATTAATAGTTAAAATCTAATAAACAGAAAATTAAACTCTGTAAAATGAAATAAATTAATAAATATCAAATTTTTTTTAAAATTCATAAGATGTAATTCTTAATAAAATGTTGATAAATGTAACTGGAGATCGGTAAAATCTGATTGAAAACATTTTTATTTCAAGAAATTTGTAGCTAGATTTATCAAGGTTTAGTTTATTTGTTGATTGTCACAAGAATTTAATTTAGGAGAAATTTTTTAATGATTTCAGAACAATTCTATTAATAAAAAAAATTTGAAAATACTTGGTCCAGCATAGAACTGGGCATTAATATTAACTGAGTAGAATGCAATCTGACATATTATAATAATAATAATACTTAATGAATACTACCGGAAAAAGAGAAATCTAATTGTATGTATTTTTCTTCTTTTAATCCAATCTTTTATATTTGTTTTTCTCAAAGAACTTTTGGAAAATAAATATGACCAGGACTCGCACCAACAAAGAATGAAAAAGTAAAAAAATTAAAAAAAAGGGCAATATTTAAGTATGATATTTTCTTTAAAATGTTAAAAATGTCACTAATGTTCAATTCTTATACTTTGGAATAACACATTCTATACATTTTATGTGCAGAGGGTTCATAAAGCAGTAAGCATTGTTAGGGGCAAACAAACCCCCTTCTAATTGAGGAATGCCAGGAAGGATTGCTGATAAGAGGTTTGAATAAAATATGCATGTATTGCACATCTGAATACCTAAAGGTAATAAGTACAAATGATGTGGCAATCCTTGGCAACCGCTGGAAATCAGTATTGAATAAAGCAATCATCAAATGGTTAATTTATAAGATAACAAATTTATCTTAAAATGTTTTTAAGTCGTGTTGGCAACTAGTCGGGCTTGCCCCTTCTATTGGCTCAGAAGGCTCCAATTACAAAGAAAACTATACTTGAGATAAGTTAAACAAGAATTACTTTAATCTTTAATTTTTTTTATACAAAGTCTAAAAAATGTTGGGGTGCCTGTTGGCCACAAAGTTAACAGGATTAATTAATTAATACAGATTTCCTAAACAATTTTTAGGATTTAATGTTCTGTCGTGGTTCTATTGCACACAATTCATAAATTTTTAAATCTCTCGTTCTAGTTTTTTCTGCACTCAAATTATCAGTTTCATGTGATATTTTAGAAGTTTGTAATGGTTTTTCTGCCAGTATTGACTCGAAGGAGTCAAAAACGTTTCTGTTTATAGTTTTAAATTATGTTGGTGTCTTAAGTAAGAAGAGTAATAAAAATATATCATAAATTTAAAAAAAATTTAAACTTTATTCTGAATTTTTTATGTAATTTTTATTTATTTAAATGAGAAACTTGGATGCAAAACGTAACGTGTTCATTAAGAAAAAATTGACCTATTGCTTAGATTTTTTTTACTTAAATCTATGCTCTGAACATGTTTCTATTTGCACTGAGCCGTGCTAAGTTCAATTTTTATTCTATCTGAGGCATTTGTAATTAAATTGTTTTAAAGCACAAATTTAAAAGTACGCATATGCTCTACTAACATAATAAACTAATAGTTAGTGTTAGAAAAAAATTTTTTATGACTTACATTAATAGGGGGGAGTGTGTTTAAAATTACTGCAGTTTGTTTTTCTTAGCTAAAGAATGTTTAACAAAAAATAAACTTTGTTGGATTAGTATCAGATATGAAAATAAATCTACAGATAAACATTTAAAGGTGTACAACATACAGTTTAGAACATTTTACATAAATGTATAGAATAACACAGTAAAAAAAAACAGCAAATACCTTTGTTCAATTTACTGCAATAAGAACGGTATAAAAAAAATAATGGAGATTTTCCTGCATTCTGTGTAAAGTACATTAAATCACCACAATTCTAATCAGTAGTATCATCACATTTTTAAAAAAATTTTATTGCTTAACATATTTACTAACACCTGTTTTTATGAATTGAATTTAATCTTTTTCCCTGTCGAACGAACTCCTCGAGGAAAATCTTGACTTTAAACATTTTGCTTGCTGTTTATTTACACACACACTTGCTCATAAATATATTTAAGCAATTTTAACTTGATATTGCCGCATTCTTATCTTTGATTTTTTTGCTTGAAAATGCCATAAAATAAAGGTGATAATGCTTTTTATTAAATTTTGGTTTATGAGATTTTTACAAGTAATTTACTTAAACAAAAAATTTATATATATATAAGTTTTAGAAGAAAGACTACAAAGATAATCCAAAAATTTCTTGTTATACAATATACTAATTACATCGATTATACATTGAGTGTGCTGATTAGATTAAACAAAATTGACTTTTATAATTAAGTGGCAAGTTTTATAATTAGACTAATTAACTCAAGCTAATTTATAAAAGTCCAAAAATTCTATTGAACAATATTAGACAAAAAGAATTGTTAAGTGAAACATCAAAGTAACTAAGAATAGTTAAGCAAAGGTTATCTTTATAAAGATTAATGTAGGAAATCTTCAAGTTCATCATGTCTTGATGCATGATTGTTTAAAAATATCAAATTTAAATGCTCTCTTGATCTTTTAAGACAAACTTTAACCATCTTATTAACACTTAAATTTATAATAAACATTGAAAGCATCATTTAAAATTAATTAAATAATAATGTAATTCAGAAACCATTTGTTGTCATTTTTCTAGATACAATGACTTGGAGATTTGTTGAAAAGACATTATTGTATTCAGTTTTGAATTGTGTTTTAATAATTACCAGATTTAAATTACACTGCTGAAAAATAATTATTAATAGTGTCACTTAAATGTTACTTTTAGAAAGAACAAGATTATTATTATTTGCTTATTAATACCTGAAAGTATGAAATATGAATTGAACTTCAATATATGAAATAAGTAAGAAACATGGTTTTGATATTCTTGTGTTTAAATCACACAAATCTAAAAGTCAGGTAATTTATTTTAATAAATCGCCAAACAATCGCCTAAATATCGGGCTATAATATGGCTAATTAAATGATTGGTATAAAGTAATTTGACATTAGAGGTAGATGTTAGGTTCCATCTCTTAAGTAAATTAATAATTATAATTAAATAAATAAATTANCTCTGTAAAATCATATCAGTTTAATGATTATTATAATGTTATTTATTTGGTTTAATTCTTTAATGTGATTTTTCTTTTTCTGTTTAGATGCGAATAATTGAATGTTGTAACTGATACTTTTGAGAAGATAATGATACTGTCCTTATCCTAGTATAGAAAAAATAAATGATTTCTTAGGTAAGTACTAGTTCATATAACATCTGTTGTTATAAGGCAGTGAGTTTAAAACTTTATTATTACCATACCAAAACAATATTTTCATTATTACACACAAGATTTAAACTGAAACTAAGTAAAGTAATAAATGAAATTTATCCAAATATATAATTATCGTCTACAGAGTCATACTTAGACATTTATCATTAGGTTACAGAGACTGACTTTGATGACTGCTATCTCTGATTCTGATAGTTTATACAAAATGCCAGTCAAGTAGGGTGACTTCTTTTCCCATTCTTCCCATTCCTCATGCTTCTTTTTTATACTGCTGTATTTTTATTAATTTCAAGATTTTTTTTCCTAACTTTGCCACCTACTCAACAGAATTTTTTGTTGAGTAGGTGGTAAAGTAGCTTCACCTCTGATCATATGATAAATAATTTGTCATATTGATTAATTATTAAACATTAACAGATTTTTTTTTCATTTTTTATGAATCTTCTATGCATTTGGAGCTAGAACTATTTAAAAAGACTAAGACAAAACCTTTCTCTCTTTATTTCTATCCAAAGGTTTCGTCTTAGTCATTTTTTTATGAAATTTATGTTACTAAAATAATTTAGAATAATTACTAATGCTGTACTTAGCATTGTGATTATTATTGTGATGACAGTAAGTAGATTCTATTGTATATATAACACATTATGGCACATTTGAACTAACATACAAAAGAAGCAGTGCATAACTTATTTAACAGTATATTGACATTTATTCTGTAGAAAAGTCAAATATTTCCATAATATATCATACTTGTTTAAATGTATAATCTTTACTCAGTGAATCAAAAATAGTAATTAATTTTTATTTCAAATTTCTTTCTATATAAAAAATTTATTATAAGATTAATTAAAGTATTATTTTATTTATTATTTCAACAATAAAACCACGACAGGACGAATCTTAAAAGATTACTTTAATCAAACAGATAAACTAAAAATATGAAAATGATTATTTTTCTCTATTTTGGCTTTATGTATGGAAAAGAATAGTGTTTTGAATCATGTTTTGTGTACACAAATATACATAATGATTAAAATACTTCTTTTTCTCTTGAAAATTGAATCGTTATTGAGATTAAAATGTAACTAGGATGATTTACTTGTGATTTTTATTTAATTTGTGAATTTAAAAATTCAATATAATTGTGGAAAATCTTTTAAATTGTAAACCAAACACAATCGAAGTCCATTTTTCATGAAATAATAATAGATTGATAATACAAATAGGATGAACATCTTGTGAAATTTGGCTACTTAACAAAAGATGTGAATTTGAATCATTTTTGAATTCATGTACTTATTGATTTTGGTGTATTTCTTCAGATAATCATATGGTTTTATGTATCAGAGCATGTTTTGCATTTATTTATTTAAACTAAATCATCTACCATAAGCTGGATTTTTTATAAATTATACATATATAAAAACACCATAAAAACATCTTTAACTAATTTTTGTTAAATAAATAAATAAATAATCCATTTTTGGAGAAAAATTATACGTATAACTTTAGTGCAATTCACCTAATTTTAGTTGTATTGTTTCATTTTCGTGTAAATGAAATGTCTATGACACAAAATATCTAAATCATTCTATGTTCATAAGATAGGCTTAATTCATAAGTTTCAATAGTAATATTTTTAATTTTCAGAAAATGAATAAAAGATGCAAATAAATTAAATGACAACACTTCCAAATCTAAAATCTAGTGAGAAAAATAAAAACATTTATTGAAGAACAAACGTTTTCAACCTTTACAAGGGCCATCTTCAGGTTTTACTGGTAGAATGCAAATTGAACATAAAATGAATTTAAATAATGTTCGTTATGTACGAACGTCGCATGCGCAGGAATGCAGTAATACATTACAAAATAAAAACAATTATATTAAATATGCTGTTTCTACAAATATCTTATTACCTGATATCAGAATATACATAATTTTGTGAAGATAACTCGCAGGTTGTCTATATTTAAAAGTCTGTTTGAAAGCAGGTGTGAGAGTATCTGTCAGTTTTAACTTATAATTACAAACTCATCAAATGATAGTACATTTAGATGAATGTACTAAGTGTAAAAAATCCTTTGTGCATTGCAGACATGTTCATTTGCCACTACAAATTTATTTGTTTCAAAACCACAAAAGGCATGTATATATTTCCCTCACCTTTAATTTTCTCCTGTTCATTTTCTGTGTATCTTGTGTGCTTTACATGTTGTTGTGTGCTTTAAATGTTGTTGTTTATACATTTCTATAGGGTGACCCAATAAAAAAAGGTAACCAAAGTTTTTTGTTCATGTGTGTACTGTAAGTGTTATATGTATGGAACAGCAACATGTGTAGTCGAAATCTAACATTGGGAATTGTTAAGGAACAATGTGCCAGATATCTTTTACTGGGACCATGTCTTGCATTGTAGGACAACATTCAATGTGTGATAGGAGAAAATTACTTGACACAATGCCGCGAAGAAGATATTGTTCAGCAAATGGAGTTACGCTTGAAACATGATGGCAGATATATACAGCATGTAGTTTTCCATTAATAAAATTAAATATTACCAATTTATTAGTAAAGTGTACAATGTGTTTTGTACAGTGTCAAAGCTCTTGTGTTTTGGTTACTTTTTCCTTCAGACCACACTATACTTAAACTTGCATCTTTAAAATTGAGAAGTTTCAGATAATTTTTCTCTCCTCCATCAGTGACTCTTAGAGAATTATTTAAAAGCTGTTGATTTTTGTTTTTCTTATTTTATTTATCTACAATGAATAGAAATTAAGTGATTGACTCTCAAACCTATCTTGTCGGTTATTTTTGACATTTAAATTTCTTCTGTTTTATTTTTGTTAAGGTTATTTTAACATTTGTTGTTATATATCTCATTAGTATTATTTGATAAATAAAATTGAGATGAAGTGAATAATAATTTAAAAATGTATAGGCATTCAGTGACAATTTGTATTTGTTTTTGAACTTGCACAGTTTGGGATATTCCTTATTTTAAAATCACATCTGTAATGAACTGTTAACAGAAAAAAAAAATAAGTATTTGAGATGATAGTTTCAAAACTATATATCTGTATCATCTTTCCAGGGGCCACTTTGCAAATGTGGATTATACATTGCCACAAGTTATCTATATGAAATTACAGTAATTGATGTCAGTCAATGACAATGCACTTTAAGTGTAAATATATATACATCCTTATCATGAAAATATACAATTAAAACTTTACTTATATGTATCACAGAGGAAGCAGTTATTGAGATATTTAGATTTTTTTTGTTTTAATCCAAAAGAAGGCTTTTTTTAGTTTTAAATTTTATGTAGCTTTCATTAATAAATTTAATTAGTTCAAATTATTTAGACTAACAAAAATATCTTTTATTATTGTCTATTCAGAAAACCAAACACTACATAAGAAAACAGATATTTTTGTTCTGGATTAGAACATTATCAGCTTAGATAGTAAATGATGCAGTTGACAGTGGTTGTAAAATCAAATACAAGATCAAATGTAAAATTTAAAATGATCAAAACCAAAAATGATACATCAGATTGTTATCAAAAGGATATCTCAAAAAAATGAGCCCTGGCAGTTTTGCTCTGAAAATATTTAAATTCAAAGTTATATACCAAATGTTTTAAATGAAACTAAGTTCATTCCTCTACCAGGAATGTATTAATACATTATTAAAAGTAGGGACCATTCATTTTTTCCATTCAATACAACCAATTTGTCCAAGATAGAAACATTCGGCCTTTCTCCCTACAAATTTGTTTTACTCCATGCTTCAATGTTTATTGTTCCATATTTGATTTACATTATTCCACTTCATCTGGTGTACAAGTTCATTCTATGTAGAATAGTTTGGATTAGAGGATTCAAATTGGGATTATTTGGAAATTATTGTTTCTTTGCAATAAAATATGGGAAATTTGATTTGGGTGTGAGGCTACCCACCATCTTTCAGTGGAAGTTTGAACTGAGTAAACCTTTCATTATTTTATTCCAAAATTTCTTTGCAACTGGAAGTACCTTTTCAATGTACACCTTGTGATCCATTGTTCCATTCTCTAAAATTGCAAGTGGCACTCCCATTTGTAATTTTAGAGAACATAAGATCTGAATTACACCATGACTCTGGCAGGAAATTTTTTGCTTTATCTTGATTGTGCCTTTAGCATTGGCTTCTGACTGCTTCTATTCTGTTAGTTTGTAAATTGTACATTCTGTACATGTTGAAATATTTCTTGTAATCATCTTGAAAAATCTTCAAAAAATAGGATTATCTTGATTTTCTCTTTTTGAAATTGTGACTTACCCATGTTAGAAATTTGTTTCACTTTCTGTTCATTGTTTCTGTTCATGGAAATATATCATTTTGAGGTCTCTTCCAAATGGACTGATGTGCTGGACAACCTGCAAAAATACAGTACCGATTTCTTCATCTTCAAACTGCTCTCTGCAATTTGGACTTTCATCTTTTTGTTCTTGCAGACTGGTTGGCCAGGTGAGGTATGCATTTTGATAGTGTCATATTCCCAGAACAGTTTGCATCATTGCTTTACTGTCAGCACAACTTTCTTTATATTGCTGAAGAGTTCTGCAGGCAATAAACTATTTCTTCATTTGGAGAGTACTAAGTTTCTAAGCCCTTTGCTTTTCATTTTTCTAAAAAAATAAAATAAATTGTTCAGTTTTCAACAAAACAATTTCTATCCCTTTACAAAAAACAATTTCAACACATAATCTGCAAATTATATTCATCAGAGCTAGTGTTACATCAGGGTCTGAAATTGCCCAGGCTCATTCTTTTTGAGACAAGTTACTTACCATTATGAAGAATCTCAGATAAGGTAAAGAGCAGATAAAAAATAAAGCAAGAATATATAACATTGAACTAACCAGAGAAAATAATTTTTTATATGTTGGCTCAACATACAGGTCAAT